GACAGACCTGGCTGTCCAGAGAGGACAGGCTCAGTGACCACAGCCTGGACACAGACAGACCTGGCTGTCCAGAGAGGCAAGAGAACTCTTTACCTCCCCCAGCAATGCTGGTCCTCAGAAACAAAACAGGATGGACTGGAGCAACTGGGGTCGTCCTCCCCACCACACACACACATACACACACATACACACACACTTCCCCCCATCCCAGGAAAAGGAAAGGGCCTTTCCCACACTGGACAGGGGGAGTGTGAAGAGGGTCCCGGAGTGGGATCAGTCCCCTCTGGACAAAAGGGCTCAGTCCCAGGCCACGGGCCCAGAGCAGGGCTGGCCCTCGGTTCGGGTCGCAGTGCACAGACCAGCCGCCCGGAAACCAAACACCCGCCCTGCCGTGACTCTCGACTGCTGACACCGCTCACAGCTGCAGCCTGTTCGTTTCTCACAACGTTTCCCACCCCCAGTACAGCCCAGGCCCAGACTTGCTCAGCCCCTGATCTCTGACAGGGATGGTGGGACTGCTGCCTGGAGAGATCCCGGGAGTTCGGATCATCGAATGAGCTCCAGTCTCCAGGATGCTTTCAGACCCCTGGAGCCGCAGAGGCACAGCAGACTGCCCCTTGCTGGGGCAGGACAACTCATCTCCATTCCCCAGATACTGCCAGAGGACTGATCCTGACACAGATAAACCACGTGTCTTGAAAACATGTGAGCATAAGATCCACAAAGAGAAAAGCACCTTTTTTTGGGGGGAACTACTGTTTCCTGGCGTTCGTGCAGATCATTTACCGTGAGGGAAAACTGTGTTTCTCCTTCTTGTCCAGGACCAGAAGTGAACACAAGTCTGCTTTTTCCATCACAGCTGCTGGGCTTATTTTGAGGATCAAGAGCTTTTTTTCCTCCCCATCACGGATAATTTCAGTTGCCAACACAGCTCCACATTCCCTTGGGATAGCTGGATATTACCCCTGCGCCTCATTCACCCTGCACACGTTGTATGAAACCGTTCTCGGAGATGGAGCTGGGTGAGAACTGAGTACTGAGACATGACAGTGCTGCCAACACAAGAACAAATGGCAAAAACCTTCAGAAACATTAGGATAATAGGATAGGATACACTATTATTATTTGAGAGGCTCACTGTCTGGGCTGCAGCTCTATTGAGTTTCCTCCCCTAGTGTGGCTGTTTTGCACAGCCTGTCCTCTCTGGACAGCCAGATCTGACTGTGTCCAGTTTCTGTGTCCAGGCTGTGGACACTGAGCCTGTCCTCTCTGAACAGCCAGGTCTGACTGCGTCCAGTTTCTGTGTCCAGGCTGTGGACACTGAGCCTGTCCTCTCTGAACAGCCAGGTCTGACTGCGTCCAGTTTCTGTGTCCAGGCTGTGGTCCTTAGAGCAAGATGGAAATTTGCCTCCAGGTGATACAGGTCTCCTGTCACCTGGTCTCCATGGCAGCCCGGTGCTGAACGACAGATGGGTGGGGCACAGGCTGGCTGCCACGCTAAGGCCAGCTCACCCCGCAAATCAGCAGCGGGGGCGAGCCGAGCACGACTTGGAAACCAAGCCCCCCGGGGGTCTGGCCGAGAATCACGGCACCCAGATGACACAACAGACGATATCAATTCCCAATGTTGTGCTGCTTGCAACTGGAAATGTCCAGGTAAACCAGGTGCAGACTGGGCAAAAGCAACTGGATCTCTGGAGTCCCCAACTGGGAATTAGATCCAAGTGTTCGGAATCCGGAGAGATGCTGACAGAGTCAACTCCGTGGAATGCACAGCATGTTCTATGAAACCCACGAGATCTGAAGGGCAGAAATGCCTCATGTGTACAGCAACAGGATCCAAGCAGTGAGTCAGCATGGATTTAAACAACACACGCGGGGACATGGACAGATGGAGACAGGCGGCCGGGGGAGGAACAGACAAAGCCAGGAGCGAGGAGACGGGGAGATCTGTTAGACAAGGGCGTGATCTCTGTCAAGAAGTTCAGAGCCCGTCTGCCCAGCTCCAAGTGCAGGCCCTGCCCCTGGCCAGCTGACCAGCTGACCAGCTGACCAGCTGACCAGCTGACCAGCTCGTCACAGGGCTGAGGCTCAGCGCAAGCCAAGGCACGTGCAAGAGGAAAACTGTCAAAATCACAACCTGGAATATCGGCCCTGAAATGTTCTTTTCTTCTTTCATCGCTTCCCCTGCTCTTTCAGGTTCCTTGCCCTTACCCAGATGACTGCAGCTCCCTCATGGGAAGAGAGGTGCTTTGCTAAATAAAGCTGCTTTTTCAGCCTGGGTTTCCAGGCCGAGAGACAGAGCGAGATGGAGAGGGGGAGGGAAAGCGGCAGGGAGGATGAAGAGAGGAGGAGGAAGAAGGAGAGGGGGAGAGAGAGAAATGACACATCCAGGGCAGCGTGATGAAATTGGTCACTCGTCCGGAAACGAGTGACAGAGACTGTGGGGAATAGAGGGAGACAGAAAAGGCGACGGGCCAGTAATGACGCAGGGAGAGGGAGAACGAAGAGTTCCTTATAGACCTGACTGCAGAGAGGACAGGCTCAGTGACCACAGCCTGGACACAGACACTGGACACAGAGGACAGGCTCAGTGACCACAGCCTGGACACAGACACTGGACACCTGGCTGTCCAGAGAGGACAGGCTCAGTGACCACAGCCTGGACACAGACACTGGACACAGACAGACCTGGTTGTCCAGAGAGGATAGGCTCAGTGACCACAGTCTGGACACAGACACTGGACACTGACAGACCTGACTGTACAGACAGGACAGACTAAGTGACCACAGCCTGCATATAGAAACTGGACACTGACAGACCTGACTGTCCAGAGAGGACAGAGTCAGTGACCACAGCCTGGACACAGACACTGGACACTAACAGACACAGCTGTCCAGACAGGACAGGCTCAG